TGATTTGAGCACACAGCACAGGTTTATTCTTTTTTTAAAACTTTTTGAAATATAATTTATTGTTAAACTAGCTAACATACAGTGTATTTAGTGTGCTCTTGGGTTTGGGGGTAGATTCCCATGGTTCATCGCTTACACACAACACCCAGTGTTCATCCCAACAAGTGTCTTCCTCAACGCCCATCACCCATTTTCCCCCTCACCCCCAGCCCCCCATCTACCCTCAGTTTGTTCTCTGTATTTAAGAGTCTCTTATGGTTTGCCTCCCTCTCTGTTTGTAACTATTTTTTCCCCCTTCCCTTCCCCCATGGTCTTCTGTTAAGTTTCACAAGATCCACATAGGAGTGAAAACATATGACACCTGTCTTTCTCTGACTGACTTATTTCACTTAGCGTAATACCTTCCAGTTCCATCCACGTTGCTGCAAATGGCAAGATTTCATTCTTTCTCATTACCAAGTAGTATTCCATTGTGTATATAAACCACATCTTCTTTATCCATTCGTCAATTGATGGACATTTAGGCTCTTTCCATAATTTGGCTATTGTTGAAAGCGCTGCTATAAACATTGGGGTACAAGTGCCCCTATGCATCCGCACTCCTGTATCCCTTGGATAAATGCCTAGTAGTGCTATCGCTTTTTTTCAAGTAATTTTATATTATTGTTATTATTTTTTAAGTAGGCTTCATGCCCAGTATGGAACCCCCTGCAGGGCTTGGATTCCCAACGCTGAGCTCTACACCTCAGCTTAAATCAAGAGCTGGATGCTCAATCAACTGAGCCACCCAGGTGCCCCTAAAACCTTTCATTATAGAAAATTTCAAACAGATACATAAATGACAGGATATAACGGACTCTCATATGCCCAACAATACCCCATTTCGACAACTTGATCGATCAAGGCCAATCTTCTAACGTCCTTGTCTCCCTAGGCAGTTATAGTCTCTTTCAAGCTAGCTCTTTGGGCCACAAATCTAGGGTTTTTTTTATAGGGGAGGGAACAGGGGATTTAGAGCCTGAAGACGTGTCCCACTCTTGATTCGCTGTATGACCTTGGGTGGGTCACTTAATTCATTAAATTCTCAGATTCTTCACCTATACAATAATAATGATAATAGGTTCGTCACAGAACTCTTGTGGGAATGAGACGTCTTGAAGGGGCCTTGTAAAAGGAAGTGCTATGCAAACACGGGTTAATGCCTCACCTCTCACTGTGTGTGATACCATTTATGCTGTCAACAAACATTTACTGAGGCTGTTGTGAAGTGCGAGGCCATGCCAAAGAAAAACCTGTTCTTCGATCTTAGGTTGTGCCCCTGAGCCCAGCTGGTCACACTACAAATGCCGTCACGAAGTCACCTAGGCCAGACAGAAAGGATTCCCCCGGGTGTCTCAGCCCCCACCTCGGGGAAGCCCCTCAGTGTGTCCTGCTGGACCAAGAGAGTCACTTCTCATACCACACGTCCCGGTTCAATGTCAAGGCCTGGAAAATGTCAAACCACGTCAAGTCTCCAGGGCTGTATCTCCGTTAAGGTTCAGAGTGAGAATCGCAGAGACAGTGGGACCTCAAAGGTTAAAAACCTCAAAATCACATCTTGAAAAAAGAAGCTGTTGAGGACATAACCCAAATCACCCTTTCAAAAATTATTTGGAGAAAAGTCTTACTCCCAGAATTTAAAGGTGTGAGGGGAAACTAGGAGCGGATGCCTGACCCAAAGGTTGGCCTGGCCTTAAAGCTATTTGGGCGGCAGCTACAGAAGATGCTATTTCTCTCTTGTTTTTCTTCCCTTCAAAAGAAGAGAATTCAGGGCGCCTGGGTGGCGCAGTCGGTTAAGCGTCCGACTTCAGCCAGGTCACGATCTCGCGGTCCGTGAGTTCGAGCCCCGCGTCGGGCTCTGGGCTGCCGGCTCGGAGCCTGGAGCCTGCTTCCGATTCTGTGTCTCCCTCTCTCTCTGCCCCTCCCCCGTTCATGCTCTGTCTCTCTGTGTCCCAAAAATAAATAAGCGTTGAAAAAAAAATTTAAAAAAAAAAAAAAAAAAGAAGAGAATTCAAAATTTCATCTTGGCCCCAATCCCTGCCTCCTGGTGGCCCATGAAAACAATATTTTCCTGCTCAGCAGGGCAAAACCTCTTATTTCCCGCTGTCCCTTTCCCATCTCCTAGCTCCACACTGGACTCCTCGCTGCAGACAGATTTCTCTAGCAAGTGATTCTCCCGCCACTGAGCCCTGGCTGTTCAGCATCCCTAGAGCACGTCAGGGCCAGAGCAGAAATGAAAGGACTGAGGCAGTGTCAGCTGCACTGGGGCCCAGGTCACTGGTGATCAAATTTTTTAATGAACATGGAGGCCAGGGACTTGAAAGGAAGGTTGGGGTTCACCGAAAGGCGAGCACAATATGCTTCTGGATTATTAAATCCTGAACGTGCAGACATCAATGTCCTTCCAACACCCATTACTCCCAGGAGCTCAGTGCTGCACTGAGCAGCCAGGCCCCCAGATCTCCTGGGAAGCCTTTGACTTCATGCTGTCAGAGAAGTATGAAGGACATTTGACAATAGGGATAGGCCCCAAGAGTCAGTATCTTGAAGAGATGTCTGCATTCCCATGTTCATTGTGCATTACACACAGTAGTCAAGATATGGACACAACTCAAGTGTTCGTTGACAGGTATGTGACAAAGATGTGGTTTGTACATGCAATGGAATATTACCTAGCCATACAAAAGAATGAGATCCTGCCATTTGTAATAACATGGGTGGATCTTGGGGGTATAATGTTAAGGGAAATAAGTGAGACAGAGAAAAACAGGCCCTGTGTGATTTCACTCCTATGTAGAATCTAAAAAACCAAACCCAGGGGCGCCTGGGTGGCTCAGTCGGTTAGGCGTCCGACTTCGGCTCAGGTCACGATCTCGCGGTCCGTGAGTTCGAGCCCCGCGTCGGGCTCTGGGCTGACGGCTCAGAGCCTGGAGCCTGTTCCCGATTCTGTGTCTCCCTCTCTCTCTGCCCCTCCCCCGTTCATGCTCTGTCTCTCTCTGTCCCAAAAAATAAATAAATGTTGAAAAAATAAATAAATAAATATTGATCTATAAAAAAAAAAAAAAAAAAAAGGCACAAACTCCCAGGTCTTAAATAAATAAACCGTGGGGATGAAAAGCATAGGAAATATCGTCTGTGATATTGTAACAGCCTTGTATGGTGACAGATGGTAGCCACACTTATCATGGTGAGCATAGAATAACGTATAGAGTTGTCAAATCACTAAGCTATACACCTGGAACTAATAGGACATTGTACGTCAACTGTGCTTTAATTTTAAGAATAGTAAAATAATTTTTAAGTTATATATAGATTGCGATGGTATTAAGCCATAAAAAAGAAAGAAAGAACTGCCATTTGCAGTTCTGGAAAAACCTGGAGGACATTACGCTAAGTGAAATAAGCCCGATACAGGCAGACAGATGTTGCATGATCTCACTGATATGTGGAGACTAAAAAAGTTGAATTCACGGAACCAGAGGGGAGAGTGGAGGTTGTTAGGCACTGAGAGGTAGGGGGCAGGGGGAGACAGTGCTCATAGGATAGTAACCTTCAGATCTAAGACGAATAAGTTCTGGGCAACTAATGTACAGCATAGTGATTATATATAATTAATAACATTGTATTGTATACTTGAAATTTGCTAAGAGAGTAGATCTGAGTGTTCTCACCACACGCGTGCACGCGCATGCACTCACACGCACGCGCGCGCGCACACACACACACACACACACAATGTGAGGTAATAGATGTGTTAATTAACTTGACTGTGGTAATAATTTCACAACGTATATGTATATGACATCATCACATTGTACACCCTAGAAAATCACGCTGGGCTACCTAAATTCCTACAATCTTTATTCGTCAATCATACCTCAATAAAGCTGGGGGGGGCAGAGAGAATGAGATAATATATGCCTACATTATCTGATGATTATAAAACATTGTACACACGTTTTCTAATCATCATCGCTCTCCTTCTTCTTGGTCGACCTCCTCTGGATCGCTTCAGAATATTCGGCTACATTTAATATTTGTTAGTTCAGTCAGAACCTGTGAGCCAAACACAGGAAAACAAGGACTAACAAGATGATCCCTGCCTTAGAATTAGATCTCTGGGGTGACTGGGTGGCTCAGTCGGTGGAGCGTCTGACTTCAGCTCAGGTCATGATCTCACGGCCCAAGAGTTCGAACCCCGCATCGGGCTCTGTGCTGACAGCTCGGAGCCTGGAGCCTGCTTCGGGTTCTGTGTCTCCCTCTGTCTCTGCCCCTCCCCTGCTCATGCTCTGTCTCTCTCTGTCTCAAAAATAAATAAAAACATTAAAAAAATAAATTAAAAAAAAAAGAATTAGATCTATGCCGTTAGAATGCATCGCACTAAGGGCTATAGGGGAGGCACATGCAGAAAATAAGGATGTAGGAGAAGAGCTCCTAACTCAGAGTGGAGGAAGTGACAACAGGGCTGAGTCTTAGAGGAGGCATAGGAGTCAAACAGACAAAGGAAACTAGGGGGGCTTTGTAGGCAGGGATGAGACCATGCAAAGCCATGAAGTTTAACTAAGATAAAGGTAAGCTATTTTGAATTTAAAAGTCACTGTTGGGGGCGCCTGGGTGGCGCAGTGGTTAAGTGTCCGACTTCAGCCAGGTCACGATCTCGATCTCGCGGTCCGTGAGTTCGAGCCCCCCGTCGGGCTCTGGGCTGATGGCTCGGAGCCTGGAGCCTGTTTCCGATTCTGTGTCTCCCTCTCTCTCTGCCCCTCCCCCGTTCATGCTCTGTCTCTCTCTGTCCCACAAATAAATAAACGTTGAAAAAAAAAAATTAAAAAAAAAAAGTCACTGTTGCATCAAAGGACACAATCAGCAAGAGTGATATCATCATATATCTGAGAAGGATTTAATAACCAGAATATATAAAGATCCCCTACAACTCTACCACAAAAAGGGAACAGCCCTGTTAAAAGTGGACAAAGGACTTGAACAGACATTTCCCCAAAGAAGATGTACAAATGACCAATGAGCACAAGAAAAGTTGCTTAACATCACTAATCATTAGGGAAGTATAAATCAAAACCACAGTTTTTGGTTTCCTGGTTGCCCATTTCGTATATTTGACCCCTCCTGCTTACTTTACATTTTGATGGGCTTGTGTTGGATCCTACATTAGATCCAATGTACAAGGTTGCCATGTGCAGAGTGCTTAGTTTCTTCCAAGATCACCTCCAATTAAATGAAATTCTTTGGCCTCCATTGCTTTAGTTAACAAGCAACGCTGATGATGGGGGAGATGAAAGTAAGAGTGGAAAGACTCATGAAGCCATCACGGGACCTTATAAAAAGGAGTGCTAACTGCCTCTCCCCCTCCAGACTCCCACTGCTGTCTAATGATTTTTACTGATTCTCAGCAAAAATTGATATTCCCTTTGGTTAGGGGGCTAAGTGCCTATCCGCAAAGTAAGTGAAATATGGTGTCCTTGGAGCCCCTTAGCTTGTGAAATTACCAAGACCCATTATTTCAGCATGGTTGTCTCCAGGCCGGCTCCAACACATGACAAAAGAACCGGTAAGATGCCTGGTTCCTGCCTTCCCAGAAACTCTTTAATTTGTTTGACACCCCTTACTGGGAAAAGCTCAGGTGGAAAAGATTCTGAAGCCGGACGAGGGCTGGGATCTCTAAATATGTTGAAAATGTTATCTGTCTTTTCTCAAATATGTCTCTCTCATTCAGGTATTTGCTCTGTGATAGCCTTTTACCTTGACAGCCACTGGGTCTCTGTGGCTTGTATTTCAGAACCGATAAGGAAAGGCAAGATCCCCCCATACCGCTTGCTGGGAGCACCTGGTGAGGAGAAGCCATATGTGACTGGGGCTGTGTGGCCTCACAACCAATGCTGACCCACCTCCCCCTTGTCGTGCGTGCCTCACTCATCTAGAAAGAAGGTAACAGGAGAAAATAAATGGACTCTCTCTGAAGGACTCACACACGCACTCTCTCTAGTGATCTTCTCATCTGCAGACTTGGCAAATTCTTTACAACTTCTGATCAAGGAAGGGTTTTTTTAATCTGTTTTGTTTTGTTTTGTTTCTGCACCTTCTCGATTTACTGCCCTGCTGCTGGGCTATATGTATGACGAGATGCCCCTATCAGGAGCCCCTTCAGAACTCTTCAAAGTCTGCGTCCTTTGAAATAAACAGCGAGCCAGTCTCAGAATGTAGCTTCTTTGGGGCTAAAGCAACATTTGCGTAAAGCGAGAGAGTAGATGCCAGACCCAAGTGATCTACTGCCCCTAATCTGGCTCTGTGTGCCTCATGTACCTCACCCCTCCTCTTCCTGTCTCACCCCAGCCTCCCCATCATTCCATCGTCAGGACCCCTGACAATAGGTCCCCAGGACCTGGGCTGAGTTATAGGATAGGAAGCTGCTTATGGCCTCCAGGTTTCTGCCTCCCATCTGCTTTGTGCCTGGCTCTCCAGACCAGTGCCAGGAGGCTCACAGGTGGAAGGGGTTGGAGATTTGGACTTTTGATCTGCTTATTCCTCAAAGTCTTCAAAGCCCTGACTATATGTCTGCCATGACCAGGATCTCGAACAAGGCCTGGGGGAGGAGGATGGCGGGGAATGGAGAATGTAGAAGAAGGCTGATTCCAATGAGAGTAGGCACCTGGGCAGTGCTATCGTCTCTAACTCCAGGGCTAAAACCCCCTACTTCTTGACTATCCGTGTGTTATGACTCCCATCTCCTGTGAAGTCCCAGCACCCACACACCCATCATAAGAATTTGGCAAGATACGTCCTCAAAAAGACGCTTTCCCAAATTCACGTTAAAAGCCCCCTTTCCAGTTTCCCCAGGCTTTCTATAATATACCAGACTTGAGCCTTTCAGCTTCAAGATCGGTCATGTTCAAAGTGCCTGCGTCTTTCCAAACTGGGAGAAGATCATTCCAAGGGGAGGATCCCTAAAGCCAGACCTCCCATCACGGCCAAACTCTGGACCATTAGAGGTTTTCACAGAATCTAGGAGTCAACCGAGATTTGATTTGGACTCTATTTGCAGAATTCTCCATCTTTAAAGGTTATACAGAGGGAGAGATTCCCTAGTTGAAGCTGGTGATCTTGGATATTTGGGTAGTCTGCTTGATATCTGTTCCCTAAAAGGAAAAAGGCAATGACCTAAGACCTTGAACAATAGCTAGGGGTACAGTTGGGGCAGGTGGAATAAAAGCCATCATCCTAAATGCATTGCATATGCCAAATATGTGGACCAACATATAGATTCTTTAGGGCCAGGGACAGAAAAAGAAAATCACATGTTGCTTTTCATATATGCAATCTTGGGTACCTTACTTCTCTGAGCCTCGGGCTCCCCTGCTGTGAGGATAAGGATCATACTAACCAGGTTTCTGGGTGGCTCAGATGGTTGGGCGTCCGACTTCAGCTCAGGTCATGATCTCCCGGTCTGTGGGTTTGAGCCCACATCGGGCTCTGTGCTGACAGCTTGGAGCCTGGAACCTGCTTCAGAGTCTGTGTCTCCCTTTCTCTCTCTCCTTTTTTTTTTTTTTTTAATTTTTTTTTTAATTTTTTACATTTTTATTTTTGAGAAACAGAGTGAGACAAAGCGTGAACGGGGGAGGGGCAGAGAGAGTAGGAGACACAGAATCTGAAGCAGGCTCCAGGCTCTGAGCAAGTGGTCAGCCCAGAGCCTGATGCGGGGCTCAAACCCACGAACTGTGAGACATGACCTGAGCCGAAGTCGGACGCTCAACCGACTGAGCCACCCAGGCGCCCCTCCCTCTCTCTCTCTCTGACCCTCCCTCACTTGTACTCTGTCTCTCTCTCTCTCAAAAATAAATATCAAAAAAAATTCTTTTTAAAGGATTATACTAACCTCCCAGGGATGTGATGAAAACCAAAGGCTAACAGCAAAGTGCTGTCTACAGGTCAATAACAACAACAATTGATCGCAAGAAAGTAACTGCTGCCCTCAAGAAGGGGGGTCAGGGTGAAGCACTGTGAAAGAAGTAGAGTTACCCGGACAGCGAGTGATAAGGACATGCAGACCCTGAGCAGCTGGCTTAGCCCAGGTCACCTGTGCTTCCTGCCCTTGACATAATAGAGCCTCTCCTTCCCACCTGTCCATGTGGTTTCTCTACTCTAACGCTCCTTTCCCTTCTCACAAATTACACAGACGCCGCTCAGCAAATGTTTGTTCCCCACAAATGACTGCCAGTGTGATAGTACTGTCCTGGAGCTTGGGGATCTGTATGGATTATGGTACAGATGCCTGATGCAGCCCTAGAGGTCAAGTAGATGGACACAATTTGCAAGAGATAAAGAGTTCCTCTAATTTCTCACCAGCCACCAGCCTGCCCTGTTACCCTCTCCTGCCCAAGCCATGCTGCCTGCATCAACAGAAATATAGTGGCCAGCCCAAGGGTTAAGATATTCTCACTCTACTTAGAACTGACGCAGTCACACTGTGGATTTTCCGGACACTTCGTTGTATAGAAACTATTAACTAAGGAAAGAGGAGCAGGATGGGGAAAGTTGTGGAAATGAGGTCTTAGGAGAAACAAATGAAGGAATCAGGAATGTGTATCACTCTGGAGAAGGAAAGACCCAGGGGCACACATGAAAGCTGTCTTCAAATATTTGGAGAGGTAGCACGTGGCAAAGGAATTCAGAGTCATTCTGTTGGCTCCAGAGGCAGCAAAGAAGTAAGGTCAGCGGGCGTGAGACCTAAAGAGTCAAATTCCTATTCCATATACAGAAATATTTCCTATCATTTAGAGCAGTCCAAATTGGAGGAATCTTCCTTTACAAATAGCAATTTCCCTATTGCTAGAGGCGTGGGAGCCCAGCACGCAGTCGTGAAGACTGGGTGAGGGTGTAAAGTCTATACAGTCTTTTCCATCTCCACGTTTTTCATTGTCCTTTTGCTTTGATTTGCCCCACCCTCATTCGCTAAGGCCATGTCAGTGGGGTACAAAGCGGAGAATTCCCAGCAATTGACTTTAGCACTGTAATGTCCCGGGAAATTCACTCACCGGAAGGAGAAATAAAAAGACTCTTGGGCTATGTTGAGGGGGTGCGTGGGGAAAGAGAGAAGGGAACAGAAGAGAGCTAGGCAATGAAGATTCCTCAGTTCTATGAGCTAGGAAGCAGCTAGATGGTCAACCAAAGGCAACATTGATCTGAAAGCCAGAGTTGTATCTCATTTGGGGGCAGGAACTTCTCTTCACATCTGCCAAAGGCCAGGAGAAAAACACTTCTCCCTGTTGCTAGAAGCAGATTTACAAGTAGCTTACTCCTCTTCTGTCTCCATTCCCATAAACAACAAAACTCCTCCATTAAGTTTACAGAGTTGGGGAGTGTGTGTGTGTGTGTGTGTGTGTGTGTGTGTGTGTATTGGGAGGAAGGGAGAGTCCTTTCTCTCCAGGCACACTTAGTATGGAAACACCTGCTATTCAGACCTTCGGGGACCTGTGAGCTTTTCTCTCTCCTCTCCCAAACAAGGGCTTCAGACTCCCCTGGGAACCACACCCTGTAACTCAGGAAACTGCTCCCAGAATGAAGTGGGAAGGAGGGACTCTGGGGGTGCTGAGTTAGATCCCCTGTGATGGCAGGAAAATTCTTGGCATCTTAAACCTTGCCTCAGTTGAAAGGAGAGGTTGGGAAAGGACTCCCCCAGGCTTCAACTGACCTGAGAGAAGAATCTGAGTTATGCCTCGGCAACTGAGCAAACATTTACACTTGTCACCAAAAATAAATTTGAAAACTAAATTTAAAAGATCTAGGGGGGAGAAAGAGAGAGAGAATCAGGGCTTCTCTTGTTTTCCAAGGGAAGAATCTGACATTCAGTTCAGCTCAGCACCTGGCAAATGCAGAGGACAGAAGAGCAAGAGGTTTGTGTACTGATCAAATTAAATTCAAACCTAGGATCCTGTTTTTCTGCTCCGCCTTGGAGATTTGTGAACAAGAGAGCTGGAGGCAGAGAAGGAAAAAGAGCAAAATTTGCTTTAATTTTTTTCCAGTCTCCTGTATTCCTTTGACTTAGAAAATCATAAAGAGGTAAAAGGAAGACCCGTAGCTATTGTATGGGTCTTTTCTTATTCAAACAGAGGGATTTTTAAAAACGGGGTTTTCTCTAGTGAAATAGAGGGGAGTTTTCATAAAGGCAGGACTTAGGGACACACTGAGGTTATTTTTGTTAGATTACTATAACTCACATTTGATTATCTTGATTTTTTTTTAAATTTTTTTTTCAACGTTTATTTATTTTTGGGACAGAGAGAGACAGAGCATGAACGGGGGAGGGGCAGAGAGAGAGGGAGACACAGAATCGGAAACAGGCTCCAGGCTCTGCGCCATCAGCCCAGAGCCCGACGCGGGGCTCGAACTCACGGACCGCGAGATCGTGACCTGGCTGAAGCCGGACGCTTAACCGACTGCGCCACCCAGGCGCCCCTTGATTTTTTTTTGATGTGATAAGTTTGATTTTTTTTTTTTCCCAAATAGATTAGGATGTTGAAGAACCCGAAACTGGGGTTGGTAATAGGCACTAACCGGATGCTATTTATCTTGTATTTTTGTATCCGTGCCTTTGTTCTTCATCATTAAATTCTAGGGATAAACACAAGGTCTTGCTCTTTTCCCTGGTCAAGGCAGGAAGACACAGGCAGAGCCTCCTAAACTGTGGGTCCAAAGACCCAAATGAAAACCAAGGGGAAGAAAATCAGCTTTGCAGATCTTTGGTATTTGATGAAGCTATTGTAGGAGATCAGCCATGTTTGGGACTTTTTGTTTGTTTATCTGTTTTGCTTTGTCTTCATTTTTGCTTTCCCTCTGAGCGCTTAGCCACACATCACCAAACTTGGTGAGCTGATTAATTTCCCACCGATTTCCTTTTCATTTCCATTCTGGGAGTTCGGTAGAGATAAACTCCACCCAGGGATTTTTCAGCAAAAGGCCCTCTTCCTTTTCACCTGTATGCCTAGAACGCTTCGTTTTCCACTCACACTTCTCAGAAGTTTTGCTTTGCACCACTTACAGTCAAAGTAGAAACTCAAAGAGTGGGAGAGAAAGAGGACATTTTCATGCAGGCAACATTGGCTGTCTCCCCGGGAGCCCGCTTTCTCCAGCTTTTGCAGCCACGTCTGCAAAGCTGTGTACTCGATTTTTGGTCGAGAACACAAGTAACAATGCTTGTTTAAGCGTGAGGGAGGCCAGCATATCTGTGGGAATGTGTCAAGGTGTGGATTTCAATAGGTTTTGAAATGTTCCCACTGTAGGTGGGGGAGCCTGTGAGCATGCAGGCACTTTCAAAGGCATCTTCGCAATTCTCCGTTTCCAACACACCTAAATTGCTGGATTTGAATTGCTGAATAGAGACCCCATGCCGGATTCAGCACCCCACCCCCACCATCCTCCGGCTGGCAAAGCCGTTGCCTTCCTGCCCGCCTCGGGCTCTTGGTAGCTTCAGCCCCCTGGGTCAGATCTCTCCTGCCAAACCCCAAAGGTGGGGATTGAACACTGAGTTCTGGAAAATGACTGAGTGTAAATGGGAGACACCGTGGAATAACTGGAGGTGGTGGAAGGGGCGCGGGGGGGGGGGGGAAGAAGTTTGGAACCGAAGAACAATGTGGGATAGCTCGTCCACCATCTACTGGCCTGTGTTTGCTTACATATACTCTGAAGACTCTTCTCCTGAACAGCATGTTGTCCAGATTTTGCCTCTTCAGACTCCCCGTCCTAAAAAACAACAGCAGCTGGCAGAGGCTGTGGCCTGTTTGAAGTGGGGAATCCGAGAACCCTGGCCAAAGGCATTAAAGCCATGCCCAGGACCCGTGGCCCTTGACGAATCCGCAGGTTGCTGCTGAGGCATTCTTTCCCCCAACTTTGTTCCTCCTAAGGGACCCCCGATCTAGAAATCTAGCCCCAGGGTGGAACAGAGGGTGCAGGGGACTATTGCTTTTCCTAGACGGTTTTCCCTTCCCTTTCCCTTTTCTGTTCCAGGGTGGAACAGAGGGTGCAGGTGCCTGTTTCTGTGATCAGGATCCATGTGTATGCCTCGGTGGTAGGAATGATCAAAAGGATGCCATCAATAGCCAACAATTTCCAATGATAGCAACTGACCAGGCTAGGCTGGGTGATCTTCCCGAGAGCGGGGAACTTCCAACAGGCGGCCATCTTTGCCCGAGTTCCGTTAAGCAGTGAAAGTAATGCTTTCCCTTGTTGTTCCCTTTCAGACCCAACAAGCCCATCATCCCCTGCTCTGTGCCTATTGGCCCCAGAAAGGGAAGATAGCCCAAGTATTTTTAGAAAAGATAAAAGGAAACCTTAGTCTATCCATGTCTGAGTGACCTTAGACTCTGTGGGGTTGAGTTGGGAGATGGAGAAGGAAAAGAAAGGCTTATTTGCGCCAGGAGTGACTCACTGGGATCTCCTCACCTGGATCTCTCTGCAGAAGGACAACCATTCCATCCCTTTTCTACCAACGTTTCTACAAATCTAAACACCCAGGGGCCCCTGGCTGGCTCAGTCCCTAAAGCATACTCTTGACCTCAGGGTTGTGAGTTCGAGCGCCATGCTGGGGGTAGAGCTTACTTAAAAAGACATCCAGCTGGGCCTTCAAATCCCTTACATTTCCAAAGTTGAGTCTTTTCTTGAGTTTGCTAAACTAAAGGAAGCCCAAATAAAACCTCTGCGGGTGAACCCTGGGAACAGACTAACCCTGAAGCTACAGAAATCAACTCTCTCTGTCATTTGCCAGAGAAAGACACCTTTAACGTACAAACGTACGAGAAGAAGAAAATGCCTCCCGAGTCCCCTCCCATCCGCAACCTTACTTTAATTACCTTCATGGTAACACGTCGATTATGTTAACAAGCTTGCACTAATCAAACACCTGAAACTGACATCCTTTGAGAGCACCATTTTGGGGGTACCTGCCTTCTAGACAGGAGCATTTTGCTTCACTAGTCACTTTATCAACAAATACAGCATCTACTCTGTGCCAGGCACTAGAAACGGAGCCAGGAACAAAACAGACAAAAACCTCAGCCTTCGTGGACCGTAAAATCTAGAACGTTAGGAGATAAGAGACTGTTCTCATATGTGGCTGCTGGAAACTGTGTGTCGCCTCATTATGTACAAGCGCTTTTAGTGTCTTTGGAAAAAGAGCCCAGACTGTTACGAGTTTACCGAGTGTCTCTACGATTAAACATAGCCCATGATACTAATCACGTGCAGAGACATGACCCTTTGTAGCCCTGGACCGGCTCCCCAACCCAACGGGTCCATTTTAGTCCAAAAAGACCATCGTTTGCTGAGTCGTCTCTCCTCTGGGAGGCCCCGGTTGCTTGCCGGTCCAGCAAGAGTGGAGAGACCAGGGCATGACCCCACGACCGGGGCCCTTCCCCTCCCCTCTTCTGGCCTCAGCAATCCCCTGGACAGGCAGCTCCGCCAGGGCTGGGGGTGGGGGGCTGCTAGCCATTTTAGGGCTGAACTCTCCATGAACCAGGAAAGGAAGGGGGGGTGCCGCAAAGCAGAGCCAGCAGGAGCAGGCTAGGGAGGCCAGGCTTCTGGGCAAACCTCTCTGGCTGGGTAAATATTGAGCTGCCTCATCTCCAAGGTGGGGGTTGAAATGGAGCTGTCAGACCAGAGTAAACTGAAGGGAGCTTCAGGCCCCAAAGGAGCAGAGAGCACATGCTTTGTGGGGCTCCTTCCCTCCTAGGTCCTCTTGCAGGCAGAAAGGGCTGCAGGACTGAAAATTGTCTGGACTCAGGCCAGTGATCTTGAGAGCCTGGAGGAAATGGACTGGGGGTAGGAAGAGAAAGAGTGATTTTAATTAGCTCTAACTAGGCCAGTAGACTATATCCAACAGGATGATTCCTCCACCCACCCTCCCACCCTCCGATCCCCCCACTAAGCTTAACATTCTTTCTTACTTATGTCTTCTTCTGTCCTCAGATGAAAGGATGAGTCAAGCTGCAGTGGGATAATCCAATTTACATCAAAGACTGGGAAAGCAGGCCCAGAGAGACTGGGTGACTTCCCTGAGGACGCACAGGAGCCTCTCGATAGAGTAAACTTGCGTCTCCCGACTTCTTACAAAATTCTTTCTTTCTCTGAAGTATCTGACCCGTTCATTTTCCTAATGAAGAGAACAACCGTGGACAAGGGCCAGGAGGCCTTTGAGCTAAAGTCTACAGCTGCTCGAGCCTCTCTGTTCTCCCAAGAAGGGACATTAAATAGCTTGCATCTCCAACTCCTGTCCCACCCAGGACTCACTCTGATTATTGAAAGCATTGAGAAAGCCAGGGAAACAACAAAGCTGAAGCCTCTGGAATATTGCGATTGAGTCATGCAAAGGAGGTCATTCAAGGAAGTCCTGAGACTCCGGACTGAGTCATCAGACAAAAAAAAAAAAAAAAAAAAAAAATCTAGTACAACTGGAGAGGGTGCCAATGTCGTGGAGTATAGTGAAAATGTGCTCCCAGAGTTCTGCAAGAAGGCTATCCTGCCAAGAGCATGACTCATCGTGACACTGGACCAGTATTCTGTGGGGCTACCCTGAATCCTTTTGTTCATAATCATTCTATTCCCTCACAGCAAGTCCCATGGTCATGGTACCAGGTGGGTCTGTGGGTGCAATGCAGGAGGACCACGGCTGGAGGACGTCTGCTGCCATCATGCCAAGACCAAGAACAACTCAGCGCAAGAAAGTAAGAGGAAGGTCTTATGCGAATAGAAACATAACACAGAAAATCTCTACTGAATCCACTACCAGGCAGTGTTCTTTTTTATTATTATTTTACTTGAGAGAGAGAGAAAGAGAGAGCTGGGAGAGGGAGAGAGAGAGAATCTTAAGCTGGCTCCATGCTCAGCGGGGAACCCGACGCGGGGCTCAGTCCCAGGACTTGTGAGACCCCAACCTGAGCTGAAATCAAGACTCGAGACGTTTAATGGACTGAATCACCCAGACGCCCCCTACCAGGCGGTGTTCTAAGTAGGTCTCATATACCTCCTTTATTCCTCAACAGCCTCCATTTTATATCTGAAGAAATGGAAGCACAGGGAAATTGAGTGACCAGCAATAGCTCACCCCGCTAATAAGGGGGGGAGGGGGGGACCGCATTGAAAATGAAGTGACACTTTAGAACCCTTGCCCTCCACCAGTGTAAGTCGGGAACTCAAAATGTCTGCCTTCTTCTTGCCCAGCCTCCCATAATGGGAGGGAGAAAGGTGCGGAGGCCCTGAGAACTGTCCCCCTCCATGGGGGAGTGCCCTGAGACCTGAAGGAAATGAGAGGGTCTTAGTCAGACCTGCTTGAGCTGTTCTCAGCTGCTAAGGAGGGAATCCCTTCTATGGACCCATAACTTGCCCTTAGACCCCTAGACGTATCAGGGATCCAACAAGATCCGAGTGTGACAAGAAAGCGTATGTGTGTGCAGTCCTGAAGGTCCAGATGTGCCCTGGAATAGATTAAGGACCATAGAAGTGGGAGAGGACATGTCCCTTATCATGATGACAATTACTATTAGAGCTCACGTTTATTTATTAGGGACTATTCCAAGTATTTTTCACATATGAACTAATTTAATCCTAACATCAACCCTATGCGATAGGTACAATTACAATCCCCATTTTGTAGGCAGGGAAACTGGTCGCAGGGAATTAGACAACTGGCCCAAGGCCACCAGGCTATGACAGGCGAGGTTTGAAGGAGTTGAACCCAGGTATCCCAGACACTTCCCCAAATCCTCAGCCTTCCTTCCAGACTCATCTGGATCCCCACCCACCCCCATCTGAATCATCCCGAGATGCCCCCAGCCTCCCCATCCCAACTCCCCTCCAGCAGCCCAGCGGTTTGGGTGCAAAGGAATGTTCGTAACAAAGAAACTAACTTAAAAGTAAGAACTTCAGGGTTTTTTAAATCTCCTTTTCTTGTCTCTCTTGTGCAGGAGATCAAAGGGCCTCACGTTGGGAGAACAAACGCTGAAGAAGAAGGCAAATGAAAGAAGAAAAGTTAACACTTCGGGCTGAGAAACAGATGGTGTGGAGGGAGGCTTGGGTGGAGTGGGAAGGCTCCACCGCCCCCCTCCCCCGACAGTGGGGGAGGGGTGCGGAGATGCTCCTCCGAAGCCTTAACAGACTTGCAACCAGCCCTGAGAAGAATTCTGTCTCCGGTGAGGAATCAAGGGGAAAAAATTCTCTTAACATTTTAATTTTCGGGGCGCCTGGGTGGCTCAGTAAGTTAAGCGTCTGACTTCGGCTCAGGTCATGATCTCGTGGTCTGTGAGTTCAAGCCCCGCGTCAGGCTCTGCGCTGACAGCTCAGAGCCTGGAGCCTGCTTCAGATTCTGTGTCTCCCTCTCTCTCTCTGCCCCTCCCCTGCTTGCGCTCCATCTCTCTCTCTCTCTCTCTCTCTCTCTCTCTCTCTCTCTCTCTCTCTCTCTCAAAAATAAAGGAACATTAAAAAAATTTTTTTTAAGATTTATATTTTCAAAACAGGAGATTTTTCTCGAGTTGGTCGTGGTAAATGGAGGTGTGGGGGTGGAGGGCTTTCCAGTTCTGCAGAAAATGCACTTTCAGATCTCCTGGTGAATATAATTCTCCTCGCCCCCTCGAGGGCTGTGAAAAACCCACCTTTCTGAAAGCCACAGAGGAATCCATGAGTAAAGCAGTTTGGCATCTATTCTGGAAAGTTTAACAGTGAAAGCCATCAACATACTTCAATAGCGGAAAAATGTGTTTCTGTTTGTGTTGCCGTCCTCCTCCTCTGTCAGTTTTGATAGGAAAATGCACAGCGACCTTTTCTTTACCCAACTAACTGCCTTCTGTGTAGACCAGTCTGGAGTCCGAGTGGGATTTAGGGGAGCGCAAAGTGGGAACGATGTTTGCATCTAAGGAGATAGGAGACTCAGGCTCATTGTGGATTATTTTGAGGCGCCCCGCTGTTAACAGAGAATCAATTTGCCCCTCACCCTTCCCCGGGGGAATCTGAGGGTTCCTTCTGCTATGACCAAAATCAAATGGGCCGGCCTTCGCCTTCCCTCCTGTCTCCTCCATCACGCTTCCCTCAGGACCTGTCAGCCCCAGTCTGAGGTCCAGCTCCACCACCCCTGTGGTCCTGCTCTAACCACTGCTCCTTCTCCTTCCCTGCATCCTTGCCCATTTGCTGGCCCCAAGGTCGGAGGGTCCACAAATCCCTCCACCAGAAGGCTCTACCGGCTTACAGTAAATGGCTCCAAGCAAGGGGAGTTTTGTTTCCACAGACACTTGCTCTGTCCCCTCGGTCAAGGTGACCCCCTTTGGGGAAGCCCACCTTGGTGGCAATTTCAATTCAATGCAGAAAAGCAGTTAATAGATTTTTTTTAAGGACAGAGGGCAAGACAGCAGCCTCTGGGAAAGCTAAGCACACACTTCCCTTCCCCTCCGGCTGGGCTGTGCGACTCTCGATAACGTTGCCGCTACTGCAATGGCATCGTTTTCATTAGGAAGCAAATGCTCAGCGTGTCTTACGAACGCTCCTAGTTCCTTTTCGCAGCCTCTCTTCCTTTGAGGTCAGAATTAAGTAGATGGGGTGGATAAGACAACCCCTTGGTCCCGCGCCCCCACCCCCATGCCCAGCTGTCCGCGCTCCGGGGCCTTTGGACTCCCCGGGTCACCGGAATCAATAAACCGGGCCGGAACCCGCAGGCCGATGTCAGCTCGACGGCACTGCGGGGCGAGTGAGCGATGGCGGTTTGGTGGCCGTCGCGGAGCTTCCAGATCCCCGGCCCCCCGCCTCCGCCGACCAAAGGTTTGTCAGTGGGACCGGCCAGGAGACAATAGCTGCCCCCGCGGGCTTGCTGTTGGCTTGTTTGGAAAAGCCCAGAGGCGCTTCGAGGTAAAAAGGTCAGCGCGGGATTGGGATTTACCTCGGGGGGGGGGGGGGGGGAGGGCTCTGCTCCCCGCCCCCAGGCCCTCCCACATCCTCCAACAGGCCCGCTGGGCGCTGGGCGGGCTACCTGCCCTTCTCCCGAGCCCCACCCCTCCCGCCCCGGTCGTGGCCGCCTCCCCTCTGCCGTCCAGCGGCCTGGAGACCCAGGACGTTCACCTTGAGCCAGGGAAGGGCCCTTCGGAGGCGGGCCGGCTAGGGCCAGAGTCTCCCAGCTACCCTGGCTTCCTTTGTCCCGATGTCCCCATCCCCGTTGGTTGGGGGCTTGCGGGTGGGAACTGCGGGCGTTCGGGGGTAACCCGTGTGCCCTTCTGGAGTTTGTCATCCTCTTCCTCTGAGCAAGAATTGGTTGGGAGGGGGCACCTTACACAGCCTCCCCACCCCCACCTCACTCCTTCAGCAAACTCAGTGTGAAGGCCCACGCCATGCCAGGCCTCCCTCTGGGCCTGGGGGAGAGAGCAGGGGGGAGGGGGTAGAGGGCCTTTGCTTTCCCCCACACGGCCTCCTCTTTTTTTTTTTTTTTTTTTTTTTTTTTAGCACCTTTTCTGTTCTCTCCAAATAATGTTTCTCCCTCTTCCTGCCTCCCTCCCTCTCAGGACCCTCTCCCGGCGGGCGATTTCCTTCCCACTCTCTTTTTCCCACCTCTTTCCTGGCTGCTCCAGTGACCCAAGGACTGACCACAGTCAGACCTGGAGGCTGGGGCCCAGTTCTGCTTTGGTCCCACCCAGCAAGTCCTCTTTATCCAGCTGAGGTCTTCCAGCTCAAATCTTTCCAGCCCAACCAGCATTCACCAAATCTTCCCCCATGTCTCCTCAGGGCTCTTGGAGTGTGACGCCTCTTCCACCCCGGGAGGGGGGGGGGGGAGCAGACGGAGCCGGGAAGAGGGAAAAACACAGACTTTATTGAAATGAGGTAGCTGGAGGTACAGAGAGAACCCCGCTCGCTTGGGGCTCAGGTTTCCAGAAACTCCCGTGGCACCTCCACTGTTTCTAAGGTTCAGAGAAATGCTTGCTGCTTTTGGGAGCTCTCACTGCACCTGGGCCTCCCTAGGCTGCCCCAGGGGTAGAGGTGGATGGGGAGGAGGGTCCTGGGTTTTTCCAGGAGGCAATAAATAGGGGAGGAACTAGTGGGGGCGTGCCTGCGCCTTCCTGGTAGAGGCTTGCTGGGGGCAGGCCTCGAACAACGTTCCAGAAGTCTCCGGAGTACCAAGTTCCAAATCACTTTGGTGGCTTAGAGATGAGGTAGCCGGTGGAAGGAGGCAGGTCTCAGAAAACAACTTCTGGAGGCTGAGTTAGTGCAATACAAATGTGCCAGGAGGGGGTTAATAAGGTTGGGGGGGGCAGTTTTTTGGTCTGTCACAAGGCAGCTGGTGCTGTTGTAAGGTCTGTGGTGACTGGAGAGATTAAGCATCGGTAACAGGCCTGCACCCAAAAACCTCCCTCAGGA